GACCTGCACTTGAAAGGACCTGGTGTCAATTCCATTCCAGTTGCCCGAAAATGGCCCTGAACTTCTGTCAATGGATCTTTTGAGGGAGTTGAGAACTTACAAGGCATTTCACAGATAGCTGCTCAAAATTCAATCAGGAAGGTGTTAAGACATGGAGGCTGATTTGGTTCAGCTCTGTATTCACAACACAGTAAAATTAAACTGAAGATCCTCAAAGAGTTCCTAAATAAACTTTTGAATAACCAATCCCAGACTTTGTGAATAATCAATCTTAAACAACAGACTTTAACTATTTATTGAATATGCAATAACTTTAGCAGACAGAAAATTAAACAACACAGTAAGCTGATTAATGCCTGATTAAGCTGAAATGTTGGTTTGCCCCATTCACACAAAAGACAGACAAATTAACAAAGTTAAGAGATAAATAAAAAGAAAATAACAAAACTGGCCAGATTATTTAAATGGCTTTCACAAGGCATTGTTCCAAGGTATAAACGTACACTCCATGGCTGTCTCTTTTGTGTGAAACATTGATCAGGGTCAGCTTCTCAGTTAACCCAGCTAAAGGCAGGAATACTTCAAACTCAGTGTCCTATTCTTAGGGATTCCAGAAGCTGGTATGGCAAATTAGACAGGGAGTTTTCAAATCTTCATGCTGTCTCAGCAGCAGCCCATAACCATCTCCCAGAAACAGTAGAAAAAAAAACTGAATCGTGATTTCACCTTGATAGACTTTTCTTGAGGCCTCAATTACCATTCAACAATTGCCATCTGCTTGAACATCTGGTCTCTTTCAGACTTGCTGGAACCATTTCCCAGACTGACCTCATTAATAGCCAACTTCTGCTCTGTTTAAACACATGGCTCTTCCTGGGGTTGCTGTGTCTGTTAGAACCTTCCTTAAAATTGAGGATAAGTATGCAATTAGCCTCCACACCTGGCCTCACAAACAAAGCTTATTTGGTCTGTTCTTTATCTTTGACCACAAGCTGTCCCAAAGTCCACAAGTCATTTCCAGCTCACAATTCAAAATTGATAAAAAGAAAAAAAAACATAATGAAAAATTGGCAAGAAAGACTTTAAAAGGTCACTTATACACTAATCATACAAGCACATCAATTTATCCATTTCTTCCACTTCAGAAGGTGAAATCAAGTCCACCCACATAGCAATCAAAGCATTCTATCACCAGCCCATAGCTTTCATTACTATGAGAGGGGTCCATTCCATCAATGTAGCATTGTGTAGTAAAAATTATTGTTGCTCGTCTAAAAAACAACTTTAGAATCTTGTGGCTTTAGTCACAATAAGGCGACTCACAAGAAAGGTGTATAAAGGAAAACCAGTAAGCTGGTAGAAAAGTATGATGTGACTTAAAAAAGGTCACGATGTGGAGGTGCCAGTGTTGGACTGGGGTGGACAAGGTCAGAAATCACACAACACCAGGTTACAGCCTAACAGGTTTATTTGAAAACACCAGCTTTTGAAGTCTCACCTGAAAGAGGAGTGAGGCTCCGAAAGCTTGTGTTTTCAAGTAAACCTATTGAACTATAACCTGATGTTGTGTGATTTCTGACCTTAAAAAAGGTCATTGCAGATGATTTTAGCAAGGATGGAGAATTAGCTAACAGAAAATAGAGTGCTGGGATAAATGGATCATTTTCAGGTTGGCAAACAAATGGAGTACTGCATGGCTTGGGGTGGGGCCTCAACTATTTACCACATATATTAATAACTTGGATGAAGGATTTGACTATTGTATAGAGATTCATTGATGATACAAAGTTGGATACAAAAGCAAGTTGTGAGAAGTAAAGATCTGCAAAGGGACTGAAACTGGTTAGGTGAGTGGACAAAATAAAAGTTAGCAGGTAGAACATAATATGGGAAAATGTGGATTGTCCACTTTGCCAGGAAGAGTAGAAAGACAGATTATTTAAGTAGATCTGACAGCAGAATTCTGTAGAACACAGAGGGATCTGGATGCACTTGTACAGAAAAATCACAAAAAAATGCTTGCATGCAGGTGCAGCAAGGTATTAGGAAGGACAATTGAATACTGGGCTTTGTAATAAAGAGGAATAAAGTATGAAAGTAGAGAAGTCTTGTGTGTATTGGGGAGGCCACACCAGTAACAGTGTCATTGTACACAGAACTGGTCTCATTAATGAAGGAAGTACTTGTATTAGTTTCTGGGATGAAGTTGTCTTCAGCAGAAGAGTTGAAAAGGCCTATGCAAATTACAGTTTAGGAGAATGAAAGGGCATCTTAATCAATAAAAGGTTCTGAAAGAAGCTGTTTGGGTAGATGCCCACAGGCCTTTTCCTCTTATGCAGGAATCTGAAACTAAAGATAGAGTTTAAACATAAGGCGTCTCCGATTTAAGGCAGAAATAAGAAGAAATTTATTTTGAGGGTCATTAGGCTTTGGGTAAAAAGAATAGTGAAGTTGGGATATTGAATTTATTCAAAGGTGAACTAGAATTTGATTAGATTTTGAGTGAACAACAAGACAAGGATTGCACTGTCAGGAGTCAAGGCCGTATTCAGATCAGTCATGATCTTATTAAACGATGGAACGGGTTTAATGGGTTGAATGTTACAAAAGATTTTATGGAAGTACACAAAATTTCCCAATTTACTAGACTTTCACATCCATGTTGACAGAAAACACAGATTAAGTTTCCGTACTTAAAGAGAATAGCTATGCATTAAAAATAAAGGGACTTTAGCTGAAGGTAAAGAATAGTGAATTGTCAGCATATAGCTCTAATTAAACCTCCAACACCACTGACATACATGTACACAACACAGATACAACAAGAACATGTGTTATGGGTAGAAGGACTTGGAAAGCAAACCAATGGTCCCTGTCCACAGGGTTCGCTGAAATTATCGTTTTAACTTCTCAGGACTTACTGCTTCTTGACCTTCATTCTCCAGCTACTTTCATTTGCTTGCAAGAGCACAGAAAAATTGATTAACATCTGCACTACCCTGATTTATTGATTAAGAGTGACAGCTTATAGCAAATAATGTAGAGAAATAAATTGGGTTTCTTCAAGCTTGAAGTTTTGGTTTTGAACTGTGGAGAGGACAGTACCTACCCTTACCCTCTTTTGAACTTACCATAATTATGTTGGACAAATTCTTCAAATTGTGTTCACTTCATTTACTTAGCATCACCTTGACCAGTTAACAACCTCCATGAACAATCCCCAAGGAAATCAAATGCAAAAAAAGACTCAATAGTGAGGTGTGCCAGCTCTGCGAGAAAAGCAAACTATTTACTTTACAAACATCTGCTCTCATACAGTGCTATACTGTTTTAGAGTATTATTAAACTAAATAATGTGACAATATACATACTTAGCTAATAAAAATTCAACTGCATGTTACTATGTGCCTTGTTAGGGGCTATGCACTGTTCCTGCCTCCCATGTTAATCAATCTTCTACAACATAGCTCTTCCAAATCTTCATCTTTGAGGCGCAGTAACAAATTGGTGAATAGACTCCATGAAGAAATCATGTTGTCAATTCACTCCAAATTATTCTGTTCAAATACAGTGTTGCTGTTTTCAAGACATCCATTGTAATAAACTTTTCTGAATTACTTTTATCTCTACTAATCAAATCACAAGCATAAAAATTCCTATAAATCACCATATGTTCTGATTCTACAGACCAATAATGGAGATTCAACAACAAGTTCTGTCTGAAAGGGCACATTTATTTTTATACCTGCAATGCTCCAGAGAAAAGTTTTATTTATCAGAAATATTTAATTCATTTTCTGCACTCATTCCTTTTAAACTCATCTTCCAATAGTAGCAAGTAATGAATAATCTAGAACTTTGCAGCACAGCTTGCTTAGGTAGTGGCAAATAACACAGGTTACCTACTATAACATCTAGACGTTGGGTACTCCATGAATATTTAGGACAGGTATTTTTACAAGAAATAAAGTATCTCTACAAGAATTCAGCTGTTTCAAAAACTAAATCTACACACTGACTCAATTGTTACTTTAGAATTTGCTGGAAAATAGAAACAAGAACTAATACTATGGGTGAAATTTAATTTGTCTGCCCCCACCTAGAGTGTGGGATAGAAGGCATGGGTGTCAAATATAATTAGTTGTGAAAAAAACTGGACATGCATCACCTTCCCAACTGCCTCCAATTAAGATAGACAAGAAAGGTCCTTATGTTGCCCATTAATTTCCAATTCACCCCATCATCACTTTTATTACATCAGTGGTTTAGAGAGAGGTGTGGTAGCACACACCATATTACAGGCTCATGGGTTGGAGTAGGGTTGAACCCTCCTGATCCGACACCCTGTGGTCCATGAAATGCCCTCTTTAAAATCCCCACAACAACCATGCCCTGCCTGACTGATCCCAACAAACACCCTCAATTCACCTCTAGTGGGACTTGCTGCAGTCGCAACACTACTCCTAGTGACACTGCTCGGACTGAAGTGTTGCTAGAACATCTGATTGGCAAGAAGCTGTTACAGCCAGCCTCTACATTCCAAGGGACAGGAATGCTGACAGCAAGCAATTGATTGCTTGATTAATTAATATTGGTCCCCTTCAAGACTCCCAGTAATGAACAAGGCAGGATTGCCACCAGTTTTTCAGCAGGTGCGACTGGATCACAGCTGTCATCAATAAGTTACTTTCTATGTTTTCCTTTTGCTAACAATCAATCCTAATGATGAAGTATTAATCCTGGTTACTGAAGGCATTTAAGACAACAGCCAATTACTAAATCCCCAAATTAATTATACAATGTCATCTTTATACTTTTATCTATACCCAAGATTTAACCATGGAAATTCTAGGAAAGAATTACAACTTTCATTCTACCTATTACAGAAACTGCCTATTCTCAGTTCTATAGGAACTCGATAGGATCAGAACTGTAGACAATTTTAATGATATTCAGTTGATTTGCACGGCTAGTTTTATGGCAGACAGAATTCTACTTACCATCCAAAACAGAGTTCCAGTTGCAAAATCAGCATAATGATCAATGGTAGATAGTACACTGAAGATCAAACAAATCAACACCATCAAGAACCTGTAATTTAAAAAAGAAAAACATGTGAAATGTTGATGTTAAAAGAAATAAAGTTAAAATGAAATAATCATTTAATTATGACCTCTGATTTTAATCCCATTTATTACATTTTTTGTTTAAAGATAAAAACAAACCTATTCAACATACTCAAGATTAACATGCAGCATTGAAGAGAATGAAGAACAATTATAATGGCAAAATGGGAAGGAAATTAACCTTCGGTGAAAGCATGAAATTGTAAATTAGAAGTCTACTTTTCCTTTCTACTAAAATCAATTAAACAGTGCACACTTTGTAAAATTGAGCTGTTTTTGCTCATTTGCTGTTTCTGTGGAAGACCAATTTAATCTCAGTTTCTTTAGGGAAGAAAAGCTGTTGGATTTTAAAATGTGAGCTGAATCTATTTCTTTACAAACAAGATGCAGAGGATTCAATTTTCATCCTAGAGGTAGGTAACAGAGTTACGAAATTCTGTGGCTTGCCACACCTGCCTTGGGATAAATGGCCTGCAAAAGGGGGCTTTTTCACGCTGAATGGGGTGAGTGTAACTAGAGTCAGGCATGCCATTTCTTGAAACCATACAGACACATCTATACAGTCTTTTGAATGCCGAGGTAGGCTTGTTAAAAGGCCAACATCAACACTCCAGGAATTTTTTTTAAAATTGTTCACTGAGTTTGGGCATTACAGGCTCAATAGCCCTAGAAAAGATGTTGATGAGCAGTCTCTTGAACCACAGCAGTCTGGGATCAGTATGTGCACTCTGTGCTGTTAGAAAGAGAATTCCAGGTTTTTCACTTAGTGACAGTGAAGGATAGCACTATAGTTCCAAGTCAGATGCCATGTGGCTTGGAGGGGAAAATTAACATGGTAGTGTTCCCATGCATCTGCTGTTCTGGATCTTCTGGGTGGTAAAGCTGTGGGTTTAAAAAGTTGTGTCAAAGGAACCTTTGGGAGTTGTCACAGTGTTTCTTGTACATCAAACACACTAGTCCCATGCAAATCAGTGGTGGATGGAGTAAATGTTGAAAGTATTAGGTAATGTATCAATCATGTGGGTGCTTTGTCCTGGATGTTGTTGAACTTCAAGTGTATTTAGAGCTGTTCTTGTTCAGGCAAATGGACAGTAGTCCATCACATTCATGATTGTGCTTTATAGGTGGTGTGCAGGATTTAGAGAGTTAAGAAGCAGGTTACTTGCATATAATTCCTAGCTTACAATTTGCTCTTTATATGGCTGGCACACCAAGTTCTGGTCAATGGTAACCTCTCAATACATCCCAGTTGTTTTATTTAATGTGGCTGTAACTTTCATCCCCCAACACATTCCCCATGCCCCATTAATGCCAAATCATGCCCCTCTACCCATGTTCAATGGCTCCTCTTGTCCTCTATAACAACCTATGGCACTGCCATGATCTATTCACTTCTAAAATTATCTATTTGGATAAATTGATTATAGTTAAAAGAACAAAGGAAACTGTAGCATAGTGGGCCAGTAATCCAGATACACTGGAAATAAGAGTTCAAATTTATAGCTTTTGAACAGCGACTCGGCAATTTAAATTCAAATAAATGAAAGCTAGTCTCAGTAATGGTGATCATGAAATAACTGGATTGTTGTGAAAATCTTTGGTTCAGCAACGCCTTTTTAGGATGACAAACTGCCAGACTCAACACAGTCTGGCTTATGGTTAATTCCAAACCCACAGCAGTGTGGGTGACTCCTAGCTGTCCTCTTAAGTTTAGCACTACATATGACGAAGGCACGACCAGACTAAGTCAATCTCAAGTCAGTCATTTTCACTAAGTTCCAGGAACCTCTACCAAAATTTGGAAAACTGTCACGCAGCTTGACGTAGTCATAATCATTACTTACAACCAATGTACCAAAATCCTCCATCACCATCTCTGGAAAAGTCCTGTCCTGCCAACAGGATAGGCTCACCAGAGCTGATGGCAAAGTGATAGCAGGTTGGGAGGTAGTTGCCTTGGAAGTCTTTAACATTAATGATATTCTCCATGAACCTATCACAGGATCAGGGTAAACAAGGTCAAGTAAACCTCATCCTGATTACTACCTACATTACTCTCTCAGCTGATGAATCAGTATTTTTCCATGCAGCATATCTTCCAAGTGGTGTCCTAAGGGAAGCAAGGGCACAATACGTACTCTTATGTAGGGACTTCAGAGGTCATCACCAAGCTCGGTTCAGTAACACTATTGACTAACTTGACTGAGCAATGAAGGACACAGCTGGCAGATTGGGCCTGCGGCAAGTGGTGTGAGGACCAGCATGAGGGAATAAAAGCATGTCCTCACCAAACTACCTGTCACAGAAACATTCCCATTGATGGAGAATTCTCCATATAGTTCTTGTAGAGATTAAGCTTATGTTCATACAGCCTCCATTGTGATGTTTAACACTCCTCTGTACAAAATGTGATAGATTTAGAAAATATCTGATGGCTCAAATCACTACATGGAGGCATTATTGGCCATCAGTAGCAGAACAATTGCATGCTCTCCATGCTTCACAGGCCAGCATAACTATCATGGACAATAACCTTCAAGTAAGGAGATTAATTATGGTTTAATAAGGAAAGTAAGAAAGCATGCCAGGAAAAGCACCTAGAACATCTAAAACAGTGTGCTTAACCCAGTGAAGCTATAACTTAGAACTAGGTGCATGAAAGCAGAATACACAGAGCTAAGCAAATCCCAGAACAAAGCTCCACAGTCATGATATATCCAGTAAAGAAGAGTGTTAGACAATGAAACAACCAACATGAGGCGGAGGGTCCCCACCCCAATGGAAGGATGCTGCACGTCAAAAGTAAATGACAAGGTTGAAGCATTTACAACTATTGTCAGCCAGTATGGATAACCCATTTAGGCCTTCTCCTTAACATCACAGATGGCAGTGCTCTGGAAACTAGTTTCATTCTCATAGTATGAAGAAAATCTGGACACAGGAAAGCAAGGGCCCTGAAAACATCGTGGCTATAGTGCTGGAGACTTGTAGATATTCTGGAGCACAATGCTAGCATCTACTTGACAAATGTGGTAAGTTTCCCAGGTATTGTGTCCATAAAAAAAAGCAGAAAAAAATCTAATCCATTACCTGCCCACATTAGTCCATGCTCTGTCATTAGCAAAACAATGGAAGATATTATTTGGTGTACAATGAAATTCATGTAAATGATGATGATGAAACTTATCATTTGACTGACATCAGAGCAAGAGCAAATAGTCTAGACTGGGCATGCAAAGAGAGAGAGCTTAGACAATACAATAGCAAATTGTATTTGCTAACCTACAAACAGATGTGAATAGTATTATGCTACATAAGGAGTGGAAGAGATAAGGAGCAAGCACCCTCAGGGACAGCGTATCTGCAGACACCCAAAGACAGAGATAGTCCAGAGTGACACTTCAATACACAGGGAGCTGTGTTGGTTGAAAGCAAGATAAAGCAACAACTGTTACTGATGAATATTTAAATCAGCAACAAACTGCTCACCAATGTTCAATTTGGGTCCCACCGAAACTACTCAGACCTGACCTTGTTTCAGCCTTGGTTCAGGCATGCAGAAAAGGATAGGATGAGGTGAAAAAAGAAGTGTCGTTTTGAGAGTTGACCGTGGCAGTCCTTAACATCAATTAAGCATTTAAGCAAATATGGAAATCAAAGGGGCCTTTATTAAAATTGAAGTCAATGAAAATGAGGTAAAAACCTCTAATGGCTTGAGCTTCCCTAGTAAAAAGTAAGACTTTGTCACTGTTGGAGTGCAATTATCTCCGTCACAGGATATCACTGCATGACTTGCTCAGACTAGTGACCCAAGCCTAAATATCTTCAACTGCTTCATTTATCTTCTCTCTATCATAAAGTCAGAAGTAAAAATACTTGCTGAGGATTGTATAGACCTGTTGATTTTGCTCTCTTGATCTATTGTTTTCATTTTCTCACCTTCACTTACCTCTGGTGGCGGGTCAAGCTGGGACAATGTTCTCTAGGTACTCTCACCACCTGTTCCACTTGCTCCTCTGCCCCCTCTGTCACAGCATAACCATTTTCCCACAACATTCTGCCCTTTCGCGGTGGTGTGCTGCCCTCCATTTGACTCCTTGCCCTTGCAGGAGACAACAGCCTCTGATTGGCTCAAGCAGTGTCTTGACTGGTATTGGAGGTTGCCCCCGACTCACTGTGGAGTCAACCCCTCAACTGAAGGCTATTCCCCTCAACGTGACCAAGGCCCGATGACGCCAACAAATTTCCTGGCTTTGCATCAGCTTCAAATGGCAAAGCAACAGTGATGGTGAGTCTAGGTGGGTGGGCAAAGTGCAAAAACAAGAGATGCTGTGAGCATGCAGGTAGGAATGAGCACTATGACAGCAAGTGAAGACTCTGGACATGCAACGTGGTCAAGCCCATGCACAGGTTTATATGTACCCAAGCGCAGAGAATCTCCTCCCTCCAACATTACAATGGCAGTTCCTGGTGCAGCATAAAGGTGCAGAAGCACCCTGTAAGTGATCGGAGATGTGCCATGTGGATTCTTAGAGTTTGGCACATATTGATGCCAATGCATGTGGCTGGTGGCCATGAAGCATGCCTGAAAAATTTGTGCCTGGTTTCTAACATGGAGGTTGTTCAGAGAAATAGGAGAGATGAATCTGCCAGGTACCTATTCTGACTGAGCTTTCCCAACATCTAGTTTGTTAGGTATGTTTGGTAAGATCTGAACCTAAACATTAAAAGGAAGCAAGTTGGGTAGAGGAGCCTAAAAATTGTTAAATCTCATCAATTGGCAGCTCACCACTTCTTGGCGAAAATCTTGCCATGCCTTGTGTGAAAAATTTAAAAGATGGAGCAAGATAATCTTGATATTATTTCACTTCTGGTCCAATGTGGCCATACATCTCACCATAGTCCACACCACTATAAGATTCCACACTTTGGTCAATAATCACATAAATTTGACACTTAAATCAT